GTTGGCGAAACCAAATGTATTTCAACCATTTGCGCCCGGCAGCTTTTCGACAGGAGGCTATTACAAACATTTGATAGTTTATAGTTCTGAAATTCAAAGCTCGTTTCGGCTTTTACGCTGAGATTTTGCATGCGCCACCCATACTTCAATCGCGGAATGCACATCACGCGGTCTTACATGTTGACTGGCTCCCCCTCCCACGACTTATCAGATGGAAGTTCCACTCATCGGATGAAGTTTCTTCTACCACTGAGCTACCCATTGATTGTTGGTAGTGTGAGGACATCCGGGTTTTTGAAGGATGAGCGGCGCTATATCCTTTTTAAGTGTGAGCCAATCACACCGCTGGTCAGCCACTCGCGGCCGAACTGTTAATTGTTCAAACTATTAACCAGGAGGTCACGGGTTCCAGACTCTGTGAAGTTTCTTGAGATACGCACTGCTGACGACTCTCAGTGAGGATGAAACAGCTGTTCAGTGTTTATTGGCTTTTGTAAGGATGAAACAGCTGTTCAGTGTTTATTGNGCCTCAAATTGTAAACTGGTAATCACATGCCAATCGGTGGCGGTCGGAGACCCTTGAGTTTCGCTCAGTGAAAAAAGGGCATAAGAACATGCAGCCGAAACGGACTAGATTCCCGTAAAATTCCAAACTGTGGAAAACCACAACTTTCGTTAAATTAATTCGCGTTGGCTCCTAGTGACCAGCACGGTTGCCACTAAGCACCCCATCTGGATTACTTAGCCGCATCTATGTAACTAGTTGCTGAAGTGCTGCCAGTGATATGCGAAAAAAGCGACTCAAATGGCAATTCAAACTAAAAAATTTTTCGCCTTACCCCAATGAATCAAATTCGTGTTTTGGGATTTTACTTTATTTTCTCACTCAATTTTTAATGCCTGATGATAATTTAGCGGGATCACCTTTTGCGCTCTACAGCTGCAAATAGCGATTTACAGATACACAAATGTAGTGCATTCCGTTTTGCTAGTTAGTCGTTCGCAAAGTGTTCCATCATTGTTGCAAACAGTTGGAAAGCTCTACCCCTAAAGTAAATAAGGACACTTTAAGATTAATAAATCTTGTTTTGGGGCGCGTATATGAGGTCTGACAGGGATATCAAAGGTGGAGTGCATTAAATAATCATTTTACAGGGTTTCAGAGGCGAAAGCAGTGACCATTC